ACTGCAGTAGCATTCAGCACACTCACACTGCAGTGACTGCAGTAGCAGTCAGCACACCCCCATACTTCCTCTGTGATTCCAACACCTATTCAGTTTACCAGGAAGAGGCAGCCCGCAGGTATCCTCTGCCTTAGAACTGGATTTAGAAGAGAGGAGCTCTGGGCAAAGTCTGATGTGTTTTGAAGCAGTTTGGTCAGACCACACAAGGCAGAGTAGAAAAGATGAAAATTCTCTCTAAACCATCAGTTCCTGGTTGGGTGCATGCATTGGCCTAATGTCGCTGCTTCTGTGAGGTAGTTGAACAAATGCTGCTAACAATATTCTTCAACTTAACAAAGAAGACATGTACTAAAGCTGAGGTGTAACCTCCCTTTGTCTGAGGGGATTTTAGTTTTTGTTTTTATTGGAATTTGTGTCACTTTTCTGCCTGTCACTTTAGGGGTTGGTCTAGGGTAGATCTTGTGTGCTTTCTGTCTTGGCAAGACACTTAAGGGACTGGTCTGAGCAGAGATGGACCCTTTGTATTGAGGTCCACAGAGTGTCCTCTTGCTGTCTTATAGGCTTAGAACTGAGCTGCCCCGCCTCTTGCTGCCACTAAGGCTGGTTCCCATCCCTTAGGGTAGTGTTTAGCGTCTCTGAGTTAACAGTTATACCTTTTAAAACTGCTGCTTATGTTCTCTCCTAAGGCCGTCACTGTGAAACCTTCCTAGATGTGTGTCCCCAGAAACCTTGCCTGAACGGAGGGACTTGTGCTGTGGCTAGCAACATGCCCGATGGCTTCATTTGTCGTTGTCCCCCGGTAAGTGGCCTGCTGCTGCTGTACGGGATGTGCCCTCTTCCATGTGCTCTGTGGAGCTGAGCTCAAGCTGACATTTTCATGCCCCCGAGGAGGATGCTAGGGTGTTAGTGCCCTGAAGGTGGTCTGGGTCTTCCCTGTGTTTAGTTGTCCCGGCATTGCTCAGCAGCTAAGCTTCCCAGTCAAGCCTGTCGGCCTACAGAGCATAAGGGAGAGCCACAAGTGGTCTGCTGTCCCCTTGAAATGAGGCCAGCGCCCCTGACTTCCCAGTTTTGCCCTGGTGCTGTGGCAGCCTCCCTGCCCTGCCAGGTAAGCGCCACGCTGCCCCTGTTCTTTAGCAGTGGCCGTTGGCGAGGAAGCCTTTCTCAAACTAGAAGGAAGCTTGATTTAGGTTTTGCTGTGCAGACACCTTTGCCAGTGCCAAAGGCCAGAAGTTCCCTTACAGAGAGTGCTGTGTGGGGCGATACTTAGAGGACACCTGTCTGTAGTGACCTTAAAGTGATAGCTTACCACATTAACCCCATGAGCCATCAGCCCTCACCTTTTGGCTGACTTGAAGAGGTCGTTTCTAGAACACAGGTGATTACTACCCGTGTCCAGTATTTATCTCCCTAGCAGTGTAGGCTCACTCGTGGGTGAGCTCTGAAGTCCACCCGCCATCCTCACTTCCTTGCCATGTCTCACAGGGGTTCTCCGGGGCAAGATGCCAGAGCAGCTGTGGACAAGTGAAGTGCAGGAGAGGGGAGCAGTGTGTGCACACTGCCTCCGGGCCCCGCTGCTTCTGCCCGAACCCCAAGGACTGCGAGTCAGGCTGTGCCAGTAACCCTTGCCAGCACGGAGGCACCTGCTATCCTCAGCGCCAACCTCCTTATTACTCTTGCCGCTGCTCTCCGCCGTTCTGGGGTAGCCACTGTGAGCTCTACACAGCCCCCACCAGCACCCCTCCTACTACCTGTCAGAGTCAGTACTGCGCTGACAAGGCTCGGGACGGCATCTGTGATGAGGCCTGCAACAGTCATGCCTGCCAGTGGGATGGAGGTGACTGCTCCCTCACTATGGAGGACCCCTGGGCCAACTGCACCTCCTCACTTCGCTGCTGGGAGTACATCAACAACCAGTGTGATGAGCTGTGCAACACTGCTGAGTGCCTGTTTGACAACTTTGAATGCCAGAGGAATAGCAAGACCTGCAAGTAAGAGCCCCAGGCCTTCGGAGGCCGAGGGGGGCTGTCACTAACACGCTCAGTCTCCTGTTCTTGCTCCTAACCACTCCAGTGCTTCGGCCCAAGCTGCCTCTGCTTCTCAGATGGTGCCAGCCTTGTCCCGTCGCACGCTACCCCGTTCTCCCTTGCTGACAGAGGGCCGGGACAGCTCACTGCATAACATCCCCTCTCTCTGCCTATCTCTGCCTTCTCACATGCTGCTCTTGAGACCGTGGGGGAAATAACCTTGGAAGTGGCGTTGCCACTCTCAGGCAGCCTCCAGCCTAGCCTGCTGCAGGATGGATGGAAAGGTCTGTACCACTGTCTCTTTGCTCATTTCTTTCCTTAAGACTAGTTTTTTCATCTAATTAGGAAGCATGAGCTCAGGGTTGAGCTCAGGCCTCTTAGCTCTCCCAGTCCTCAGTATTGCTGACACAGTCCACACGGTAACTTGCCTATTAATCACTGCACTTAACTACAAGAGAGGGAACCAGTTATGCCTCAAAAGGACCTTTGGAGTTCTCATTCTTTTGTTTGACATTTCAGTGGTAGTTGTATATATACATACATACATACATATATATATATATATATATATATAACTCGTGTGTGTGTGTGTGTGTGTGTGTGTGTGTGTGTGTGTGTAAACTCCTGAGTCTAGAACTCCTGATCCTCCTCCTTTTGCCTTCCCAAGTGCCGTCATTATAGGCATGTACCACCATACCCAGATTTGTCTTGGCATTTGAAAGAAGGTAAAAGAGTTCGATCTCATATCCTGTATGAACATCTCGCTGTCCCTTCCCTTCTGTAATTGTCTTACTCTGGAAAGAGAAAGAACCAGAGTTTTGGCACACTCCTCTGAATAGCTCTTAGATAGTTTGAGGTCTGGGCCAAGCTTGGACTCCTTCTACTTCTAGAACTCCTTGCTCTTACTGAGTCAGTGAAGGAGAGGGAAGTGCGAGCCACATTGACCTTGACTTCAGATGATTGGCTGAGTAGGACCTGCTAAACACGTGCAGGGTGATGAGTGTAACATTCTTCCCTATTCCAGAGGCACAGGGTAATGTTGAGTGACAGAGCTGGATAGCCCATGGTGTTAGGGTACATGATTTATTGGAAGTTTCTCTAGACATTGGGGTGCTGAAAATGAGCCAGAAAAGATGGGTAGGAAAGGCCACAGTCATTCTGAATGGAAGCTGAGGCTCCGGTGTGTTCTGATGGCCTCCTCCTCTCTCCTGACTAGGTATGACAAATACTGTGCAGACCACTTCAAAGACAATCACTGTGATCAGGGATGCAACAGCGAGGAGTGTGGCTGGGATGGGCTGGACTGTGCTGCGGACCAGCCTGAAAACCTGGCGGAGGGCACCCTGGTCATTGTGGTGCTCCTGCCCCCTGAACAGCTGCTGCAGGATTCTCGAAGCTTCTTGCGGGCCCTGGGCACTCTGCTTCACACCAACTTACGCATTAAACAAGACTCTCAGGGCGCCCTCATGGTGTACCCCTACTATGGGGAGAAGTCTGCTGCCATGAAGAAGCAGAATATGGCACGCAGGTCCCTTCCTGATGAGCAGGAGCAGGAGATGATTGGGTAGGTTTGTGTTTCTGGACTTAGAAATTCCCAAAGGACCAGTGTTTCCAAGCGAATTCATAAAGCTGGGCACTTTGATCCATAGTACAGATACTCAGCCCATCAAAACGAAAAGCTTAAAAGGAGTGCTTCCTCATTTAAAACCCACATCCTAGCCTCTTCTATGTGAGGATAAAGCTCTGCCTTGATTGAAGGGTTCTAAAGATCAGCTAAGCAAGAAAGACACAGATATCAGAAAGGTCTTCTCAAATCTGGAATTCTTAATGTTTCTCCAGAGTTGCCAAGAATCTATATTCATAATGTGTCTTTTGGATTCAGTATTGCCTCATTTTCAAGGCCTCATTGGGTAGGTCTGTTGTTCACATCCTGCTGTGTGTTGATGGCCTGTAACTTTCAGCCTTTTCCTTGCTGAGATAGAATGAGTGAGGACCAAGCAGCACTGAGCAGGCAGGGCTGGGGACCACTAGGGCCTGCTTCCCCAGCAGGTGGGGCTGGGGGACCACTAGGACCACTTCCCTGGCTACTTGTTATGTGTCACCCAGCCAGAGGTGTATGTCAGCTGGACCACAGGTCGTGAGCCCTCCCAGGCAGGAGTCTGTGTTGAACATTTGAAACATCCTACTTTCTGAGTTCTTTCTCCCAAAGATGGAATGCTTGATGCTGAAGGAGGGAAGATTGGACCATGAACCTTTCTGACTGAGCCCGCCAGACCTGACCCTCCATTTCTTCCCCCCATTCCCTCTCAGCTCTAAGGTATTTCTGGAAATTGACAACCGACAGTGTGTTCAAGATTCAGAGCAATGCTTCAAGAACACCGATGCTGCAGCTGCTCTCCTGGCCTCTCACGCCATCCAGGGGACCTTGTCCTACCCTCTGGTGTCTGTCGTCAGTGAGTGGCATTAGTGTTGAAGGGGGCTGGGAAGGGACCTCACTGGGGCTCACTCCTGCTGGTAGCAAGAGGTTGCTGTTCCTACATCATTGTCCCTATCTCTGAACTTCCAGGTGAACTGGATGCTCCAGGAAGCGCTCCGCTTCTCTATCTGCTTGCGGTCGCCGTGGTCATTATCCTGTTCATCATCCTGCTGGGGGTCATCATGGCAAAACGAAAGCGCAAGCATGGCTTCCTCTGGCTGCCTGAAGGGTTCACCCTTCGCCGAGACTCTAGCAATCACAAGCGCCGTGAACCTGTGGGACAGGATGCCGTGGGGCTGAAGTAAGAAGGTTTTACAATAAACCACTATTCACAGAAATAAGCAGAGATAAACAGAAGGGCACATTGCTGAATCATAATTTTAAATTCTAAACTCAACCTTTAGTCACCCTGACCACAGTTTCCAGTGGCTTGTCCAAGTCTGTGAGCATGGCTGCCTCTTTGTGGACACACAAGTTGCAGCGACGCTCACTCAGCATCTGAGTGGGAGAGAACTTGTGAAGTAGTCTCTTAGTGAGAAGAGAAAGAACGAATGCTCAGAAATTGTCACATTGAATATTGCCCATCGGGGGTGGGGTGCTGGCTTAGTAGGTGAAAGTGACCCCCAAGCCTGCAGACCTGGGTTTGCTCCCCAGTGCCCACATGGTGGAAGGACAGAACTGGCTTCCTCATGCTGCGCTGTGAGTGTGTAATAGAATTAAAGGGGCTGGAGGGATACTTCTGTCATCAAGAACATGAACTAACCTGGGTTCAGTTCCCAGCAGCCACGCTGGGTGGCTTACAGCTACATTACAGTAATTCCAGCTGCAGTGGGATGTGAGGATGCCTGAACTCATATGCTCAGATACACACAGACACAGACACTTCATTTTGACAAAGTGTTGTGCATCCTATCCCGTTGGACCAAGTCAGAGGATGCATGGACGTGTGCTGGTAGTGTACAGAAAGCCACTGTGTGTGCTCAGCCATAACCTCTACTCTTGTCTCTCCTCTGAATATTGTCAGAAATCTCTCAGTGCAAGTGTCAGAGGCTAACCTGATTGGTTCTGGGACAAGTGAACATTGGGTTGATGATGAAGGACCCCAGCCAAAGAAAGCCAAGGTAAGCTGTCCCAGACAAGCCATAGAGCTAGCAGTCATGTGATCATATTCTTGGTTTGTATCTCTCCCAGACACTGGTTTTCCCAGAGCCCCATGAACAGCAGAGGCCCATAGAGCACTCACAGTCTTTGTTGCTCATGTATGTTCTTCAAGAAGCCTCTTAAAATAGTAAAGCAAGCCTGCCTTCTGGCTCAGGTGTCACGCTTATGTTTACTGAGTCAGGACTGGTGGTGTGGCTGCTCACAGTTCCATTTATGGATATCTCTCTGGCTCTTCTGTAAGAAGAGATGGAGTTATCTAATGAAGAAAACCAAGACCATTAACTTCTGGGGAAGTCACTGAGCATGACAGTTAAGAACATTGCTTTAAACCAGCATTCTAGAGGCTGAGTCAAGGGAATCCAAGTTTAAGGCCAGCCTGAGCTACCTCTAGAAACCAAATAAAATAAACAAATGAAAACATACTGTTTTAGTCGCCCTGAAAACATAAACAGGTATATGAGCAGGTTGTATTTAGGGATATATAAGCATTTAACAACAATTAATAATAAAAGAAACTTGGATGTGGAAGAGAGCAAAGAGGGGCGTATGGGAGGACTTGGAGAGAGGACAGAGAAGGGAGAAGTGGTGGGATTTTATTCTCCAAAAAATGAAAGCAGTAAAAGCAACATGAACCATTGCTCTAGTCAGGCTACTTGATTGCTGTTACTTAAACCTGTTTGTATTTAGTATTTCCTGTCTATAAAATAGCAATAATAATAATAATAACAACAATAATAGCTCTCTCCTCTCTGAGTTGCTAGAGTATCTCTTGCCTATCTCCTATTACAGATAAAGAGTTAACTACGGGCAGATGCTGTTTTCCCCCATCCTCTCCTCAGTGTTCGCGCTGAGTACTGTCTTAAGTGCAGGCAGGCAATCTTGAACAGGGTTTATTCCCCTTCTCAGGAGCCTTCCAGCTGAAAGGAAAATAAAATAGCATGTGCTTTCTCTCATGTGCAGAGTCTATAGTTAACTAATAGAGACAGATAGGACAGAAACAGTAGACATAAGGGGACTGTTTGAAGGGAGGACAGGAAAGGGGTGTGAAGTGAATGCATCAGCAAGGTACAATGCTATGTTTGTAAAAATCCATTGTTTTGTACACTAATTTAAGTTCTTTTAAAGAAAGAAAGATAACATATGGTCGGCTGGTGATACAGTGCCAGGTAGACATACCACATTGTCAGCTGAGAAAAGGGAAACCACTTTTTAAGGTCAACAAGATTAAAATCTCATTTGAAGAGCGAATTGGAGTCAAACAAGATAGAGGAGACCATCACAGGCAGGTTAGAAGAGAAGGTGGAAGACTCTGTCACTCCTCAGCCTTGTCAGCAGCTTCTGAAGGGCTCAGGTTAATGAGGGAAAACTACTTTCCCTCTCCAGGCTGAGGATGAGGCTTTGCTGTCAGAAGACGACCCCATTGATCGACGCCCCTGGACACAGCAGCACCTTGAAGCTGCAGACATCCGCCGGACTCCATCCCTGGCGCTCACTCCTCCTCAGGCAGAACAGGAGGTGGACGTGCTGGACGTGAATGTCCGAGGCCCAGGTCAGTAGTGGGTCTTACCCTCCAGAGTTCTGTGTGGTTGTTCAGTGTTTCTCCACCTGGCCAGCTGCCCCTGCCAATTCCAGACACTAAGTGAGCTTGAGGAAATGAATGGGTGAGAAATATAGTCTTGCGGAAATTATGAACCTGGGGACAATGACATTGGTTGCTCAGTGGGTAAAAGTATTTGCCATGAAAGCCTGACCACTTGAGTTCAAGCCTCAGAGACCATGTCAAAGTTGGACAAAGTTGTCATGCACACACATGTGCTCATCCACACACACCATACCAGTCATTTATGTGGTAAGGCATATGTGCACATATCATACACATACAATAAAATAAATATTTAAGTATTTTTAAATTATGGGCTAGAGAGAGGGCTCAGTGGTTAAGAGCACTTGTTGCTCTCACAGAAGACCTGGTTTCAGTTCCCAGCACCCATATGGTGACTTAGTACTTCAGTTCCAGAGGATCCAACACCATTTTCTAGCCTACATGGGCACTATGTGCACATGGTTCAGAAATACATGTAGGCAAAACACTCATACTCATTAAATAAATCCTTAGTTTTCAATTTAAAATGCAGATTTCAAAGAAAGAGAAGGATTTTGCAGTGCTTCATATACAGCTACTGAAAGCAAGTAGACTAATTAAACAAGCTGGATTTTAGGGGAATAGAAAAATAGTATCTCTCTTAGTCACTGGTCTGCTGTTGTGAAGAAACTCTGTGACCAAGAGAGAAAAAGACAGACAATGGACGAACAGACAGACAGAGACAAACAGAGCCTGGCGTGGGATTTTGAAACCTCAAAATCCACCCCCTAGTGACACACTTCCTCCAACAAGAGCACACCTCCTAGTCCTTCTCAAATATTGTCACTCCCTGTTAACTAAGCATTCAAGTATATGAGTCTGTGGGGGCCATCCTTATTCGGGCCACCACAGCATCCCACAGCAGGACATGGGAAACTACCGTAGCTCTTGTCCTACAGGCAGACGTTTATGTACATTGTCTATTTAAAATGCTGTCTAGTTTGAGCTGTCATAATTCCACTTAAACCCAAGCAGAGAAGCTTATCAGTTTAAGGAAGAGCCTCAGGGCAGAAGGCAGCTGCTTTCCTACACTCTTCCCATAGCTGGCATTGTCATGTAGAACCTGTCAGAGTTACTACAAGCACGGAGAGTTCACATCCCTTAGCATGATGGGGACAGCAGAGCTGTTGCAGTAATGGGTTAATTTGAATGTGTTTGGAACATTCCCTTCCTACAGATGGGTGTACTCCACTGATGCTGGCTTCTCTCCGAGGAGGCAGCTCGGACCTGAGTGATGAAGATGAAGATGCTGAGGACTCTTCTGCCAACATCATCACAGACTTGGTCTACCAAGGTGCCAGCCTTCAGGCACAGACAGACCGCACTGGCGAGATGGCCCTGCACCTTGCAGCCCGCTATTCGAGAGCTGATGCTGCCAAACGCCTCCTGGACGCTGGTGCAGATGCCAATGCCCAGGACAACATGGGCCGCTGTCCTCTTCACGCTGCGGTCGCAGCAGATGCCCAAGGTGTCTTTCAGGTAAGAGCCAAGAGTTGGTTTGAATATGAAGAATGAGATATCTCAGTGGGTAAGGCATGTCTTGGTTACTTTCCTATCTGTGGTAAATACCATGTCCAAGACAACTTGTAATAGAGTTTAATGGAGCCTATGCCTCCAGAGAATCAGAGTCCATAATGGTGGAGCGAAGACATGGAGGCAGCACAGCTGAGAGCTCACATCTTGAACCACAAAGGAGGTAGAGAGCTGCTGGGAGTGGCACAAGTCTTTTTCAAACCTCAAAGCACGTCCCTGTGACATACCTCCTCCAACAAGGCCGTGATTAGCCATTATAGCTTCTAGGACATAAAGATAACATGCCCCCCAGGGACACCTCAGTTTGAGTGCTCTTGTTTCGTTCTTTTTCTTCATCTAAGGGAAACATCTCTGCTTCTCTTCTAGATTCTGATCCGCAACCGAGTGACTGATCTAGATGCCAGAATGAACGACGGCACTACCCCCCTGATTCTGGCTGCCCGCCTGGCTGTGGAGGGGATGGTGGCCGAGCTGATCAATTGCCAAGCAGATGTGAATGCAGTGGACGACCATGGTAGGGACAAGGACTTGCCTCAGTCTGCAGAGCGTGTCTCTAAGCAGGAGTATTGCTCCCCGCCCCTGAGAGGACTTCCTCAGATCTGAATCTGATGGAGATGGAGAATCCCTTATTCTTTCCTTCAGTGTGCGGGGCTCCCAGAACTGAGGCAATAGGAGTCCCACATAAAGATGAGAAGAGAAGGGTTTCTGGTTTTAGTTTTTTCAGTATGAGCATTCTTAGACCTCAAAGAATGTTCTTGGAAAGTTTGCCTGTGGAATCCTAGCCATAACCACCTCTTACTACAGGAGTGGATTCACTGGGGGTTATGAGATATCCTAAATATGCAGTTGGCATATAGCACAATGTTTCCTATCCTCAGTATGTGAAGCTTGGGCGGTGGAGGGCATGAATGTCACACACCAGGGAGCCTGTTACCTAGAGGCTCCCAGCTTGTGCTGAAATATTCTGAGAAGACAAGGAAAATGCAAGTGTGCTCTCTGTGGGCTCCTTGGCCACTGACTTCCTGCTGCTCTCCAGGGAATTCAAGGTTTCTTGGAAAATAAACAAAAACAAATAAAAAAACAAACACCACAGCACTTTCCTTAGTGCTGTACTTATCAAATGTTTCCCCTACAGGAAAATCTGCCCTCCACTGGGCAGCTGCCGTCAATAATGTGGAGGCAACTCTCTTGCTGTTGAAGAATGGGGCCAACCGAGATATGCAGGACAATAAGGTACAGCACTTAGCTCAGGCTCTGAGTGTGAGCCCAGCTGTGTCTCCTTAGAAGGCCTGGGGAAGCTCGTTGGGGGAGCTGGGTCCAGAGATCCTGAGGGAGGATGTGGGGCTTGTTAGGAGGCAGCCCCTGGTTGTCTGGTACTCATCCTGCTGTCCTAGAAATCACTTGGTGCACCCCTCCCTGACCTTCTCCTTCAGCAGTCTGTCGTCTCTGAGATGTGCGCACCACTGTTCTCATTCTCTCCCTTCTCTCTGTGCAGTAGTTTGTTTCTCTGTTCTTGGACACTGAGGTACACTTGTGTTTGAGCTGCCTGTCGTGGCCCCTCCTGTCGTGGCCCCTCCTTTATGCCTCTTGTACTTACTGCTTCCCTTTGTTTTACTTCTTTTCCTCAAGTCTCACCCTGTCTCTCTCGTGTTCTAAATTCTTTGTGTACTTTGGTTTCCGTCCTCTCTTTCTTATGGCAACCCAATTTCCTCTCAGCACTTCGTGCTGGCAAGCCCATCTCTCTCTCTTAAGTGACGCTCTGGCTCTGAGGCTGGCTTCGTGTCACTGGTCCCTGTCTAAGAAGACGGTGCTCCTGGGAGCAGAGTGAGTTCTTTGGGAGAGAGGAGATCTCTGTGGAAGTCAAAGATGCACAATATGTAGGAAGAGATACTGTCTGTCCATGGTATTTCATAGAAGAAGCACTTAGAAAAAGTACTAAAAAGATTATGAAAGAGTAAAGTTAGGAACATTCTGTGTTCTGGGTATTAAAATGTGTTCTTTGGTCTTTCTTCAGGAAGAGACACCTTTGTTTCTTGCTGCCCGAGAGGGAAGTTATGAAGCAGCCAAAATCCTGTTAGACCATTTTGCCAACCGGGACATCACAGACCACATGGACCGACTTCCCCGGGATGTGGCTCGGGACCGTATGCACCATGACATTGTTCGCCTCCTGGATGAGTACAACGTGACTCCCAGCCCTCCGGGGACTGTCCTGACGTCTGCTCTCTCGCCTGTCCTCTGTGGGCCCAACAGGTCTTTCCTCAGTCTGAAGCACACCCCAATGGGTAAGAAGGCTAGACGGCCCAACACCAAGAGCACCATGCCCACGAGCCTGCCTAACCTTGCCAAGGAAGCCAAGGATGTCAAGGGTAATAGGAGGAAGAAGTGTCTGAACGAGAAGGTCCAGCTGTCTGAGAGCTCAGTGACTTTATCCCCTGTCGATTCCCTCGAGTCTCCTCACACATATGTGTCTGATGCTACACCCTCTCCCATGATCACATCCCCTGGAATCTTACAGGCCTCGCCCACCCCTCTGCTGGCTGCTGCCGCCCCTGCTGCCCCAGTGCATGCACAGCATGCACTGTCCTTCTCTAACCTTCATGAAATGCAGCCTTTGGCTCCTGGAGCCAGCACCGTGCTCCCCTCAGTCAGCCAGCTGCTATCCCACCACCACATTGTCCCCCCAGGTAGTGGCAGTGCAGGAAGCTTGGGCAGGTTACATCCAGTTCCTGTCCCAGCAGACTGGATGAACCGTGTGGAGATGAATGAGACCCAGTACAATGAAATGTTTGGCATGGTCCTGGCTCCTGCAGAGGGAGCCCACCCTGGCATAGCAGCTCCCCAGAGCAGACCTCCGGAAGGGAAGCACATCTCCACCCAGCGGGAGCCCTTGCCTCCCATTGTGACTTTCCAGCTCATCCCAAAAGGCAGCATTGCCCAGGCAGCTGGAGCTCCCCAGACACAGTCCAACTGCCCTCCAGCTGTTGCAGGCCCCTTGCCGCCTTCTATGTACCAGATCCCAGAGATGGCCCGTTTGCCCAGTGTGGCTTTCCCACCTACCATGATGCCCCAGCAGGAGGGTCAGGTAGCTCAGACCATTGTGCCAACCTACCATCCTTTCCCAGCCTCTGTGGGCAAGTACCCCACACCCCCTTCCCAACACAGTTACGCCTCCTCAAATGCTGCTGAGCGAACCCCCAGTCATGGTGGTCACCTCCAGGGTGAGCACCCATACCTGACACCGTCCCCAGAGTCTCCTGACCAGTGGTCAAGCTCTTCACCACGCTCGGCGTCTGACTGGTCAGATGTGACCACCAGCCCAACTCCCGGAGGTGGCGGGGGCGGTCAGCGGGGACCTGGAACACACATGTCCGAGCCACCAAACAGCAACATGCAGGTTTATGCATGAAGAGTCTGCCTCAGTCGTAGAGATGGAAGTACCTATCACACATACTGCTGAGGGACAAGTGAAGGCTATCTGAAGAGAAATGAAGAAAGCTCTGTAACCAGCGTCTGGAGGCAGGAGAGAAGATGCTCCGGACTTCAGACAGGCATGAGAAGCATTACTCACTCTTCACTGAGTGTCTGTGCAGTTTTAGGGGAGGATGCAGCTCCTGCTGACCCTCGCCCATCCTGCAGGTTCACAGAAATGCAAGATAAATACAAGCCTTGAGACTCCTCGCTCTCTTCTTATTTGGAGAATACCATGGTTGCTTTTATCACCCAGACCTTCTTGCAGCTTGAAGAGCATTTTAAGCCCTGGGGGCTTCTGACTGCATGTGGAGACTGTGCTCTAGAGTCAGACTGAGAAGTGCGCCCTGGGACTCTGTACAGGCTGACTCGTCTGATCTCCTCAGCCCTGGAAATGGCCTTGATGTCACTTGGTGCTTTCCTCTCTGCGCCCGTCTATGGTTGATCCTGTCACTGTGTCATAGGCAAGACTTTTGTGCTCTTAATCATTCCTAAAAAAGTTGGAAAACAACTTTAGCCTCCTGTTCCCACATTCCCAGCACCCAAGGAGGCTCACAGGGTTTATTCTGGTCATGGGTCTCAGCCTTGGCCTCTGAAGTATGCTTCTATGGCAAGTGCACTCACTGCAGTCTTCATGTCTCATTTCTAGAAGGAAAGAGAAAGCAAAGTATTTGGGGAATAGAAGCCTCCTTCTGAACCTGCACCTTAATTTCTCTCCCCTGCATCTGGGGCCCCATATACACTCATGGGGGAAGGATATGAGCTGTTGTTCTGTTGTCCTAGTCAATATGCAATTGTACTCTAGGAGGCTTAGGTACTGTGATATTCCTCTCATTTTGTTGTAAAGTAGGAAAAGTGGGTGCATGTTGGACTGTCCAAGAAATAAGCTAATTTGTTCAAGAAGCAATCACCCACCTACAGGCCCTCCATTGACTGCTACTGTGAAGCACATTTACCCCCAATCTTAGGACTCATTGATCCAGCACATGAAGGTACTCTTGGCTGCCGCACTGCTCCTCATAGATGGCAGCAGAAGAAAATGACTCTCCATTTATTTTACCCTTGCCATTTAGGACAGAACTTGCCTAGGGCACAGGGGACCCAGTGACTGCCAACTTCCTTAGAACCACTTTCCTTTCCGATCAGAAGCCAGTTTATCAGTTTCTCTCCACACTGTGTGATCTGGGTGATTGATGCACACAGTAGGTTCGCAGTGAAGACGTGGAGTCTGTGTTTGGGTTCCAGACGTGGAGAATGGACAGTCTCCTGAGCACACTCCTTCCCTAGAGTTCTCTTCAGATGATGATGGTTCCTCATTGTCCTTGTGTTCAGATTAAGATTGTACCTCATCCAGACCTGCTTCCTGTATTGTGGTCTCAGTGACTTCTCAGACTCTCAAGAGCAGAAACAGTTTTTTGTCTGTTGTAAATCTAGGATGATAGTTTTCTCCATCTTCCCCTCAGTCAGCTAATAATTGGCCTTATGGCCATGCCATCAATCACTGCTTCCTGGTGCCATGATGCCCATGACACAGGAAACTGAGTTCTCCTGGAGCATTTATGTATATTATTAGCTGGATCACCTGGGGGGAGCATTTATTTGTTGTTTTAGGGGTTTTGTTGTTGTTTTAATAATAGTCTTTATCCCTGCGTATCTATTACCATGGCAGTCTATAAACAAATGAGGATTTTAGTCCCATCTAAGTTCATTGAATCAAGAAAAATAATTTGTTCTGTCCTGGTCTATGGCAGATTAAGGTTGGTCATTTGACTTTATTCTCATGTGGTAACATCATCTTACCAGTCCCTTTCATGGAATATAGATATTTTATTGCCCTAAATATTGACTGTCTCCCCATGTACCCATCAGTTAGTCCCAGATAAAGAGAACCTGTGTGTGTGAACCTCTTCTGCCCTAAAGCTCTAGTGCCACTGCCTGCAAACAACAGCCACGGATCCAGCCACTGGGTCTGTGGTCACTGTTCCTTCCCAGACACAAAGAAGAACAAACTTGCTGTGTCTCCTTCAAGGATCCCTGAAAGAGCATCCTTTGGGTTTGGGAGGAGGGATGTGAAAACTGCCATTACAGAAAACAGGTTACAGAGATGAAGAAGACAACACTGCCAGTCAAACATCTGATCGGCCCCTTAGATGTTAGAATTCTTGACTGTGTAGTGTCTAGGAAAGGGAAGAGGGAAGGGTAATCCCTTCCTCCTGGGATCTGAATCAGAGGCTAAGGTTGTATGGGGCACACCCTTTATTTTCTACACAGATCCCAGATCCCTGTTTTGGACTTTTTATTCCTATGAGTTCATCCTTTGACTCCCATCTGCCTTTGAGGATTTTTTTTTAATTTGTTCTTTTTTGTTTTAAGCATCATTTTCTGACTTATGCATTGGTGGGGGGATTGAAGGAAAGAAAGGCTGAGTTAAAGATTTTAGTGAAAGCCATCAGCACGAGTTGGTTACATTGTTATATTGGCCACTTGAAATCTTGCATAGAAAAGAACCAAAGGTGTAACGTTCTGTTCGAGTGTGATTTCAGGACCTGAAATTTAACCAATGTGTTGAATGTACAAGAACTGTTTGAAAGGACACGTGTCTATGTCCTGAGGCCCCCACCCTTAACTGTTTTGGTACTATGGCAACTTCCTTGTGTACATTTCCCTGAAAAGTGACATTGTATCTGTTTGTATGAGAAACTCAGTAACCAGAAAATGACCGCGTGTTCCTGACTAAATACAGGAAGGAATATGCACAATGTTTTTACTTTTTAAAGTTTCATTCTAAAAGTAGTTTAAGATGAAATTTATATGAAAACATTTTTATCACAAAATAAAAAAGATTTCATGTCAAAGTTCAGTGATATCCTATTCTGCCCTGCTCCATCGCTGGTGCCCTGGTGTCACAGTGATGGATGGCCTCATGATGTCACAGTTGGTGAGAGAAACTTAAATCTTCCTCATGCTGAATCTTAAGCCCAGTACTGAGGTTCTTTCATTTTCTTGTCTAGTTTGATCACAAATGCTTCTGAGGGGAAGATTTTCATCCATTCAGAAAAATCATACTATGGAGCCATTCCACCACACCCTGACCATAGGATGTGACCAGCAGACGGCTGCTTGGGACCAAGCGCCTCCCACGGAAGTGGGGAGTGTGTGCTGGGGCAAGAATTGGATAGAAAACACTTCCTGGTTCACTTACCTGAGCACTGCTGGTTTGTGTGGACATGTGTAGGATAGACTAAACAATAGGATTATACAGTACCATCAGGGTATAGATTTGCTAACAAGTACATTTATTTATAGAGGCAATCAGTGAGTTCCTGGGCGTGGCTCAATGCAATGCCAGCAGTCTCACTGCAACCTTACCATCGAGCTGATTTTCATATCCTCTTGTTTTATAGACACTTCTAAATCATGTGTGCATAATTACAAAAAAATAACAGTTTGGATTTTTTTCCTGAAATGACTTGATTTCAAATCTTGGGCGATGCTTTGGTTACGAAAGAGGACTTCATGGTTCATTAGCACACATCAGTTATTCCTCAAGTTTTATAACTGTACTCGAGACACGTTGGCCTCCACGTGGGTTTTATGTTGTATATGTGGTTTTTATGTATGGAGAGAATTACTAAGAGTCTCAGAGGGATGCCCCACAGGCTGTTCTCAGAGCTGGAGTTGCTTCTTGCAGACTTCTGTGCTACCATATCTTGCTTGGAGGACACTTCCTCCCATGGATCTAGGCTGAAGGTCACTGGTCCGTTGATCTCCTACCCTTGCACCTGGAAGCCTTGCAGCCTTGCCCTCAGCTGTGCACTGCCATAGAACAGTAGGACCGGATACTGGCTGGCAATTGTGGAAGGAAAGGAAGTGAACCGTCTCCCTCAGTCAACCCTCTCAGCCCAAGAGCAGGAACTGGCTCTTGTCAGATGTGATGAATAAAATAGAACAGTCTCCTATAATACCAGCACACTTTCCAGGATGTGGGGTGCCTGGGATCTGTGAGGGGGCCACTGCCTCTAGCACATGCCTCTGCCATGGAGAAGATATAAATAGAGAAAGAATTCAGTGTTTCTTTTGGTATGGAATAGTTAACAGTGTATACTAACAGGAGACAGTGTTCCCAGCACTTGGGAATGAAGTCAGGAGGGTCCCAAATTGTAAGATCATCTTCAACTATACAGAGAGTTCAAGATTGGCTAGGGTTACACAAGACCATGTCTCAATACGGGGGTGGATGCATGTGGACTGCAGAGGCCCCTGAGTAGTACTGACCAGTCTATTAATCTTTGGTTCAAAGGAATGGAAACCAGAGGAGTTCCTGGAACCTGGAAGGAAAGCTACCTAGCACAGGTTTCCCATCAAGGCATACCATGAACCATGCAGGTCTCACCCCACCCTGAGAGATGGCTCAGAGTCCTGGGCCAGACTTTGAATGGGGAGGAGGGTGTATCTCAAGGCACAGGTCTTCCTCAACCATAGTTGTGCAACCAGTTTTTGGGAAACTTCTACTGCTGACCTGTAACTGATTTGTTAGTCCAGGAAACAAAAGTGTTTCTGTGTTGATAATTCTGATGAAACTGCTTCTCTGGGTCTGCTATGGGTTTCCTTAGCTGTGATGGCACAACCTGGAGACAATCCAGCAGCAGGATAGATAAGCCCTATAAAGTAAAGATGAAATGGCTGAGTTGGTGAAGTTGCTTGCTGCCAATACTGACAGCCTGAGTTTTGTTCCAGGGACCCACATGGTAAGACAGAACCAACTCCTCAAGTTGTCCTCTGACCTCCACATGTGTGCCATAAAGGAAAACATGAAATGAAGAAAATTTTTAAAAAAAATCAAGAAAATTATAGACTTACTTACAGATACAAAAATAGAAATCCACTGTTACCAAACTAAAACTACAGTGGTGATCTGTTTTGATTTTTATCTGTGGTAAACTCCATAATCAAAAGCAACTTGAGGAGGAAAGTATTTATTTCTGCTTACAACTCAAGAAGGGAGGGAGGGCAGGACAGGAACCTGGAAGTAGGAACTGAAGCAGAGGACATGGGCAAACACAGCTGATGGGCTTGATCTTTGTGGCTTGCCATGGTGGCACCATCCACAGTGAGATGGGTCCTCACAATTCAATTGTCATCAAGGAAGTGACCCATAAACTTGCCTATCCGGTGGGAGAGTTTTTTCAGTTAAGTTTCTTCTCTGATGACTTTAGCTTGTGTCAGATAATAAAACCCCAAATTGGCACAAGTGAGTATTCTAACATCCCATCTCCTAAGGAAACAACTGCAAAGAAGTACTGATATGACTGAGTTGATGCTTGGTGGTTAGGATCACTACTTCTTCCAGAGGAACTGGATTAGAATCCAGCATCTGCATAGTGGGTGGCTCACAGTGCTCTGAAACTCCAGTTCCAAGGGGTCTAATCCCCTCTTGTAGACTATGGGGACCCTTCACACACATACATGTAGGCAAAGCACTCATAACGAAATAGCACTTTTTAAGTGTATCAATAGATAACTGCCACACCAAGAAAACTCACAATCACTGCAGGGAAATCAAGAATGTGCTGATCAAATTATATGTTCATGAAAAACTGGAATAAATTATGTCGGGAAACGTCACAAAATAAGGTATCAACTACCATCTAAAACAAATGCTATGCTCAGTGATGAAAGAGTAACCAAAGAGGTTAACACAGGTTCCAGCTGTCCCTTGTACTCAACAAGATCTTGAAGTGGTGCCTGTGTTAAGGAAAACAAAAAGAATAGACAATAGTTGCTTATATACATTTACTTAGAGATAACCATTAAACCACACTCCAACTATTGACATTTGTCTCCACTGCAGAGAGTGAACACAAGAAATGTGAAGACATAGCTGTGGGGTGAGGACTGTGTTGGGTAGGAAGGCAGGTTTGTGGCTGAGCAAAAATTTGGAGCTATCTGTTAATAATCTGAGAAGAGAAGATTAAGGATCAGGAATCATGAGTTCAAGACTATTTTGGGTTACACAGGGAGACACGGTTTTAAAAGCAGAGGGGTGTCTGGAGAGATGGCTCAGTGGTCAAGAATACTTGCTACACAATCGGGAGCCCCAGATCTGGATCCCAGTACCCACGAGCCAGCGCGTGCCTGCAATTCTAGGTTTGAAAGGGTGGAGACAGAAGCTAGTCCTCTGGGCCTACCTGAGAACACACCAGTCTGAGGTTTAGGGAGAGAGCCTATGTCAGAGAAATAGGTGGAGGGATAGAGGACACCCAATGCCAGCTTCTGGCCTTTGTACCTAAAGGTACATGTTGCACGCACATGCAGAGACATACACAACACACATTTAAAAAAAATCTATTAAACTTTTTTTTTACTGGCATTCTCCTAAGCTTTATCAGTAGACTGAGCTGGAAGGAATTTTAAGAGTGAGGCTTTTTCCTTGTTGGTTCTAATAGCTGCGTAAACAAAACTCTTCCTGTACTATTTCAAGTGGATTCCCAAGTGCCAGGTTCCCAGGGTGTTTTCTTTTTAATATTTTGTGTGTGTGTGTGTGAGAGAGAGAGACAGAGACAGAGAGACAGAGAGACAGAGAGACAGAGGTGAGAGGTGAGGTGTGTGTGTGTGTGTGTGTGAAAGAGAAAGAGAGTGTGAGAGGTGTGTGTGTGATGTGTGTGTGTGTGATTGTGTGTGTGTGTGTGTGTGTGTGTGAGAGAGAGAGAGAGAGGTGTGTGTGATATGTGTATAATGTGTGTGTGTGTGTGTGTTGTGGGTGTGTGTGGGTGTGTGGTATATGTAAGTGCCCATGGAGGACAAAGCAGGATAGTAGGCATCTTCCTGTCTTTCCCTGCCACCTTATTTGCTTTGAGGCAGGGCTTCTTACTGAACCATTTCAGTTAGGCTGGCTGGCCTGCAAGCTCCTGGAATCTGCCCTCAATGCCCCACCCCTCAATGCTAGGGTTACAGGCATATACAAACTAAAAACATATTCACTTTCAGTTACTAAATATACCCCACCTTAATAAAAATCCAAGGATGCAAGGTAAATATTGAGTTACATTCTTCTTCTAGTGAAAATTTTAGCTATTATACAATATGAGAATGGCTCTGAGGTGCACGTGCTCTCTCAGGTGACAGCTACTGGCACATGCTGCTAGTTATATGGTCTTAATTCTGAGTGAGCAGTGTGGCTCTTAGTTTGTAAAGAACACCATTTTTAAGGGTGAGTCAATAACAATCAATATGAACACTCACTTTCTTTGATATATTTATTTAAATTCTAGCAATCTAACACAATGGAAATCGTTTCAAGGGGGAAAATGTATGTATTTATATATAAACATACATCTTAATTGCCGTAAAGTACATATTTATGCTCACTAGCATAAGACAGAAAAACTTTAAAACAGGATAAATGTGAAGTTTTTGACTAGCATAACTGTGGCACATGAGGGAAATTGTCAAGTCAGAGAGTAGTGCATACTGCAAGAATACCACGCACCTGTTGGGGTCAGCGAAGTAGAGCTAGAAAATTATTTGCAGTATGAATTGTTCATTGGGAAGAGACACTCTTGCAAGAAAATGAACAACATGTACTATTTTCTAGATTTAAGTCACTTTCTAGAAGGGGCTTCAGAGAACAGGGTAGAGAAGGCAATAGAACAGGTGAAATAAGGAAGGGGCAGGGAGACTTACCAGGAGCGGAAACACCTTGAGGAGCAGAAACACCGTGGAGGGGCAGGGCAGGGAGGCGGGGGTGGGAATGGCATTGAACTGAACTGGTACATTTTACTCATTAGTTCCTAATATTGTATTTATGTACCATTTATATTGTGCTAAATATTATAAATGTAAAAATAAACACTAG